AGGTGAGGTTTGAGAAAACAGTATTCAACACAGGAGACAGAGGGGTTTATACAGATCAAAATAGCTGCAAGACTAGGGAAGTTCAAGGGTTGGGGGAGTTCTAGAGAAATTTTGGTAAGATAGAAACTTGGCTGAACATTTCAAAATTATTGGGCAGGTTTTCTCTTATGAGGGTGGATATTAGGGTATAGGGCATGGAACATGCCAAATTCCAGAAAATGGGTCAAGGCCTAGTCAAATCCAAATTTTACAGCAAACAGGAATGAACTTATTTTGACCTTGTAATAAGATGGTTTCTAATCTTAAAATGAAGTCAGGCTGGTCTATCAGGTGTGACCAGTAGTAGGTTGCCCCTGCTCCAATGTATGACCTGATGCCATTTGTCATGCACATATGGATAGCACTAAGTGGGTTCCAAGGGCCCTTAAAAAAAAAAAAGAACATGAAGTTGGGAGGGAGATGAGTTGAAGGGGTCCAGGGGAGTTGGGGGGGGAACAATAGGTATATATAATCATAATTCACTGTATACATACATGAAATTCTCAAGAAATAAATTAAAATAATGGTTTTTCAAAAATCTAGGGGAGTGTACTCAGTAGATAAGTTTGAAGCTCTAATGACTGGTAAACCATGAAGATAGATTTTTAAAAATTTATTTCTGAATTAGTGATGTGGGAGTGTCATATCAATCTGTTGATTTCATTGGCTGAGCAATAAAGAAACTGCTTGGCTGGCCCTGATAGGTTAGAACATAGGTGGGAGGAATAAACAGAATAGGATGCTGGGCGGAAGAGGAAGCAGAGACACCATGATGGACGGAGGCTAGAATCTTCCCGGTAAGTGCACCTTGGGGTGCTTACACACATCATTAGAAATGGGCTAGTCCAGGTGCGAGAATTGGCCTGTAAGGGCTAGAGTTCATGGGCCAAGCAGTTTTTTAAATGAATACAGTTTGTGTGTTGTTATTTCGGGCATGAGCTAGCCAAGCGGCTGGGGTGTTGGGGACGCAGCCCTGCCGCTCCATATTTCAACAAATTAGCATCTAAAGCAACAGGATTCCTTATGACATTCTCATGCACACTTCATTTTAATTGAGTCCCACACCAAGTGTCCCTCTCACCCCTTGCTCACCATGTCCTGCTTGTATCATTCTTCTTCCTCTTAGTTCCCTTTGGCTTTGATTTCATATGTCTTAGACCCCCTTCTCCATCTTCCTTCCTTACTGTTTCTCATGGACACTTGCCAGTTTCATGTCTTCCACTCACAGTCAATCCCACATACGTACACATATATACACATTAGAAGAAAAGATCCAAATGAGAAGTAACATGTTTTATCTGTATTTCTGAGCCTAAGTTACTTCATTTAATATAGTTCTGTTACATCCATTTTCTTGCAAAGCTCATTTTTCATGAATCAAATTCCATTGTGTCTATGTACACTACATTTTCACTATCCATTCATCGGTTGATGGACATCTAGGCTGATGTCCTTTCCTAACTATTGTGGTTGAGTAGCAACACACATGAAAGTGTCCCTGGGGTAGGATACAAAGGATTTTGAGTCTACGTCCAGAAGGGTATAGCTGGGTATTTCCATTTTTCTTTTTGATAATTCTTCACACTGGTTTCCTTAGTTGTGGTGCCAGTTTATGTTCCCATAAACAGTGAATAAGTGTGTTCCTCTTTCCCCACATCCTCATTAGTGTTATTGTCAACTGGTTTTGTAGTGCTAGCCATTCTGATTGGCCTAAGAGTTTTGTTGTTGTTGTTCTGAGACAGGGTCTCTCATTGGTCTGGATCCAACAATTACGTTAGGCTGAATGGCCAGCAAGCTCCAAGGAGATCCTACTGTCTCTATGCTTCCAGTACTTGGGTTCTAAGCATATGACACACCTGATTTGTTTGTTTGGTTTGGTGTTTTTATGAGGATTGAATTTAGGTCCTTGTGGTTGGGTGGCAAGCTTTCTATTTACTGAGCCACCTTCCCAGCCCCCTCTACACAGTTTTAGTTGGTGACTAAGGATGTTGACATTAAAATACTTACTGGCTGTTTGTAGCTCTTGTGAACCTGTCCTTTCAGCTCCTTGTCCCATTTCATGATTGGCATTTGGGGGTTTTGGGGTTTAATTTTGTTGCTCTTAGTTGTTTTAGATATTAGCACCATCTTAAGTATAGCTGGAAAAGATGTATTTTCCATTCTGTAGGCTGTTTGCTCTGCTAACATTCTCGCTCTGTAGAAACATTTTAACATCATGTAATCCCATCTGTCAATCCTGTGCACTGGGGTCCTACTCAAAGATTTTGCCCATGTGTTTCTCCTATTTTCCTCTAGTTATTTCAGCATTGATGGGTTGTTTGCTTGTTTGTTTTGTTTTTGAGACAGGGTTTCTCTGTGAAACAGCCCTAGCTAGAACTCACTTTGTAGACAAGGCTAGCCTAGAACTCATAGAGATCTACCTGCCTCTGCCTCCCACGTGCTGGGGACTAAAGGTATGCGTCACCATACCTGGTCCAGCATTTATAGTTTTAAATCAAGCTCTTTTGTTCATTTGACAAACTCACTTTTCCATGTGTGTAAATACAGTCTTGCAAGTACCATATATTTTATAGGGCTGTCTTCTTTCCAGCGTGTTTTGGCAATTTTGTCAAAAAATTAGGTGGCCATAGATACGTGGGGTTCTTTCTGGATATTTATTTTCTCAATTATGTTCCATTTACCAAGTTAAACATGTCTGCATTATTCCAGCACTCTATTTTCTCTATACTATGACTCTGTAGCATGGTTTTGTTGTTTTGCTTTTGAAATATGGTCTTACTAGGCAGCCCTGGTTGGCCTGGAACTTGTTATGTAGCTGGTAGACTCACACATTGTCTGCCTCATACGTACTGGGATTAAGCACACGAGTCACAACAACCTGCTAAGTCCAGTCTGACATCAATTCTTATGACACCTTTGGCACTGTTCTTTCTGCCCAAGATTGGTATGGCTCTAGTTCCATAAGAATTCTAGAACGGTTTTCTCTAATGTTGTGAGGAATGACATTAGATTTTTGGTAAGGATTACATTGACTCTATAGATAAGTTTGGGTAGTAGAGCCATTTTCACAATGCTAATTCTGCCAATCCAGGAGCATGGAAGTTCTTTGCATGATCTAGAGCAGTGTTCTCAACCTTCCTAATGCTGCAGCTCTTTAATACAGTTCCTCATGCCGTGGTGACCCCCAACCATAAAATTATTTCACTACTACTGCCTAACTGTAATTTTGTGATTATTATGCATCATAAAGAAAACATCTGATATGCAGGATATTTAATATGCGATCCCTAAAGGGGCTGCGACCCCCGTGTTGAAAACCACTGATCTAGTGTCTCCTTCACTTTCTTTTTTCAGTGTCTTAAAGTTCTCATTATAGGGGTATTTCCCCACCTTGGTTAGGTATATTCCTATGCCCTATAAACCCATAGACTCACTAGTTTCCTAGAATGTAATTGTACCTGTTTGTTACTGGAACCTTAGGAGGAAGGTTAGACATTGTTTACTCTCCCCCGGGAAGGAATCTTAGCAAAGTGTGTGAGTGTAAAGGTGTGTGCACGCGCACATGAAGGTCAGAGCAGGGCACTGAGTAGCCACTGAGACAGGGTTTCTCGTTGATGCTAAGCATTCTGAGCTAGATGGGCTGGCCCGTGAGCTCTCTGGATCTGCGCGTCCCCACACCCCAGGTACTGGCATGTTCAGCTGTGTCTGCCATCCTACCTGGCTGCTGAGGATCTGAGCTCAGGCTCTCACGCTTGGAGAACAAGCACTCACCAAGCCATTTCCCAAGCCCACATTTCCCCTTTCACCTCTAAATTTATTCATTTTGGTCTCCTCTTTCTTTTGGTTAGTTTAGCTCTAAATCTGTCACTCATTTAATGTTCAAAGAAACAGCTCTTTGATTAATTCTAATGCATTTATTCTGTTTCATTCATTTCTGCAGTAATCATTACTAGAGCCTGAGGTCTATCACTAGGTTGTTTGAAATCTCTCTGATCATCTTATAGCCATAAACTTCTCTCTTAGGACTGACTTTGCTACATCCCAGAAGTTCTGGTAGATCGTATGTTCATTTGATTTTCAGAATTCTCTCAATTTCTTCAACAACCTAATGTTCATTCAAAAGCGTATTGTTCAATCTCTAAGTATTTGTATATTTTCTAAGTTTAGCCTTGAGGATGGAGTCGTTGGATTTAGTTTATCCAATCCAGTCAGTGTCTTTTGTGAGTTAAGGGTGTTTGTATTCAAGGTCACAACTGAGAGAGGATTGTGATAACTGACGGTCCTCATGTTGCTGGTTCAGGTTTTCTGGCTTATTGGTAGTTCTTTTGCTCCTGCTAGTAGTGGGGGCTTTCTCATTGGCTGTGTTGGGTGTGGTTTCTTCCCATCTGTCTTCTGGTCATTCTTCTCATGTGATGTATGTTCTCATGCATGAAATTGTCCTTTTCTTCTGTGTGCGGTACTTCTTTAGTAATTGCCTTAACTTATGCTACATTCACAATTGTTGTTTTATGTGTATGGATATTTTGCCTGAATATATGTCTACATATGCCTCACATGTGCTTGGTGCCCGCGGAGATCAGAAAAGGGAATTGGCTCCCCTGGAACTGGAGTTACAGACAAATGTGAGGCATCAGGTAGGTTCTGGGAATGAAGCCCCAGTCTTCTGAAAGAGCAGTCAGTGTTCTTAACCACCTGACCATCTCTCCAGCTCCTTAGGCTTTCTTCAAGATCCCTAGACTGTGTAAAGAAGGGCAGGGGAATCCCTTTGGTGTGGATGAGGAGCCTGTCCTCGGCCCCGGTGCTATCTTTGAAGGCAGGAGCTGACTGAGATGGCTTCTTCCCCCAGGGCCCCTGTCATCACTGAGTGCTCCCTAATCACACAGCCAGTCCTTCCTTCTGTAAATCAGTCTGGTGGTGGGTCAGAAAACTAGACTCAGGGGGAAACAAACAAACAATGGAACTATTAATGACAGAAAATTTATTTTTATACAAAGCTATACAATCTGAAGTCAGAGGGCTTCCCCAGATAAGCTATGCATGTCCATATTACAGGGACTGGATCACAGTAACAATTCCATAAAGACTATCCCTGAGGTTCCAGCCAAAGACGGCGTTTTCCCAGAAAACTAACAGTCACTCTGGGGCACGGATTTTCTAGCTGGTCGCTGAAAACTGGATCCAATGCTGATGCTGGGCTGGTTGCTAAGGAACCAGCGGTGCTGTGGAGGGGGATGCAGACTGTGAATGGCAAGCAGCAGCCTTACTTCTAGGAAAGTAGTATCTGCAATGATGCTTAAGGAACACAGCTCATTACTCTTAACTTTACCAATTCTGGTTTTCAGGTAAGCACTGCAAAACTCTCTACAGGTTCTACATCTTAACGGCCTTTCTTCACATTAAAAAGACTTCTACTATTGTTAGAATGTGTGACTGTCATTGTTATGTGATGTACTAAAATTCTTGACATTATGCAAGCACATAAAATGTGACTTCTTTATTAAAGCTTTACAGGGCCATAAATGCTTCAGAGACCACATGGAGTGCACATAGTTCAGTGAGGACTGAGGTAAAAAGATGCAGCTTCTGTATATAGAGCCTGGAGGTTAAATCAGCTGCTCCTAGCCATTCTAGGTGCAGTTACAGATCAAAAATGCTGATTTATAGAGCCAGGTCTTGAAAAAAAAAATCAGTCTAGCAAATGCAAATGTAAATGTAAATGTAATGTAAATTAAGCTCACAGTGGGTTCAGTGTCTCTGAAGTGTGCTCCACAAGGGAATAGGGGTAGCCCAGTGGAGTGTGCTGTCCCAGCATCTCTGGGAACCAGGGTCAATACCCACAACCCATAATTTAAACAAAACACAAAGAATACCTCAGGGCTGGTTCAACATACGAAAATCTATCAATGTAATCCATCATATAAATAAACTGAAAGAAAAAAAACATATGATCATTTCATTAGATGCTGAAAAAGCTTTTGACAAAATTCAACATCCCTTTATGATAAAAGTCTTGGAGAGAATAGAGATACAAAGGTCATACCTAAATATAATAAAAGCTATATACAGCAAGCCGACAGCTAACATCAAATTAAACGGAGAGAAACTCAAAGCCATCCCACTAAAATCAGGAACACGACAAGGCTGTCCACTCTCTCCATACCTCTTCAATATAGTGCTTGAAGTTCTAGCAATAGCAATAAGACAACATAAGGGGATCAAGGGGATTCGAATTGGAAAGGAAGAAGTTAAACTTTCGTTATTTGCAGATGATATGATAGTGTACATAAGTGACCCCAAAAACTCCACCAAAGAACTCTTCAGCTGATAAACACCTTTAGTAATGTGGCAGGATACAAGATCAACTCCAAAAAATCAGTCGCCCTCCTATACCCAAAGGATATGGAAGCAGAGAGGGAAATCAGAGAAGCATCACCTTTCACAATAGCCACAAACAGCATAAAATATCTTGGGGTAACTCTAACCAAGGAAGTGAAAGATCTATTTGACAAGAACTTTAAGGCATTGAAGAAAGAAATTGAAGAGGATACCAGAAAATGGAAGGATCTCCCTTGCTCTTGGATTGGGAAGATCAACATAGTAAAAATGGCAATTCTACCAAAGGCAATTTATAGATTCAATGCAATCCCCATCAAGGTCCCACCAAAATTCTTCACAGATCTTGAGAGGACAATAATCAATTTTATATGGAAAAACAAAAAACCCAGAATAGCCAAAACAATCCTATACAATAAAGGATCTTCTGGAGGCATTACCATCCCTGACTTCAAACTCTATTACAGAGCTACAGTATTAAAAACAGTGTGGTACTGGCATAAAAACAGAGAAGTCGACCAATGGAATCGCATAGAAGACCCGAATTTTAACCCACAAACATATGATCACCTGATTTTCGATAAAGGAGCTAAAAGTATACAATGGAAGAAAGAAAGCATCTTCAACAAATGGTGCTGGCACAACTGGATGTCAATCTGTAGAAGAATGAAAATAGACCCATATCTATCACCTTGCACAAAGCTCAAGTCCAAATGGATCAAAGACCTCAATATCAGTCCGAACACACTGAACCTGATAGAAGAGAAAGTGGGAAGTACCCTACAACAGATGGGCACAGGAGATCACTTCCTATGTATAACCCCAGCAGCACAGACAGTAAGGGCCTCATTGAATAAATGGGACCTCCTGAGACTGAGAAGCTTCTGTAAAGCAAAGGACACTGTCACTAAGACAAAAAGGCAACCCACTCACTGGAAGATCTTCACCAACCCCGTAACAGACAAAGGTCTGATCTCCAAAATATATAGAGAACTCAAGAAACTAGACTTTAAAATGCTAATTAACCCAATTAAAAAATGGGGCACTGAACTGAACAGAGAATTCTCAAAAGAAGAAGTTCAAATGGCCAAAAAGGCTCTAAAATAAAAAAAAAAATTCACTTTGTTAAGTTAACCTACTGTAGTGAACAGAACGAAGCTCTTAGAGCCCGGCCTCCACCACAGCCCTGAAGGGGCTCGAGAGAAGAGGCAAGACTATGTGTTATTAAACGGCAGTTGTTCAGTGAGCTCTCCCTTGCCACCCTTTTATCTTTGTCATCATCACCATCTATTGCTCAAGACAGGGTTTCTCTGAAATGGCTGTCCTGGAACTCACTCTGTTCTGAATCCCAGGCTGACCTGGGATTCAGAGAGATCCACCTGCCTCTGCCTCCCAAGTACTGGGATTAAAGGTGTGCACCACCATGTCCAGCCTGTCTTTCTTTTTTTGCAGGGAGGGGTGGTTTCAAGACAGGGTTTCTCTGTGTAGCCTGGCTGTCCTGGAACTCACTTTGTAGAGCAGGCTGGCCTAGGACTCAGAGACCCACCTGCTTCTGCCTCCTGAGTGCTAGGATTAAAGGTATGCGCCACCACACCCAGCTCTCATATATCCCGTTTTAATGGTAAATTCTTATTAAGTATATTCATTTGTGTGTGTGTGTGTGTGTGTGTGTGTGTGTGTATGTCTGTGGGCGTGCACGCGCACACGCTGGCGTGTGTGTATGTGTGCATGTGTCCGCACGTGCAGGTCAGAAGATAACTTGCAGGAGTCGGTTCTCTCCTTCCACCATGTGGATTCTGGGGACTGAGCTCAGGCCATCAGTCTTGGCAGTGAGCATCTTTGTCTGCTGAGCCTTATCTTAATCTACTTCTAGGCATCTATGGAATATACAAGCTAGAAAGTGATTCTTAGTTGTGTCAGAGAGAGGAACACAACAAAAGACTTAGCCTCGGACTAAGAGCAGTGTCAGGAAACACACACAGTTCTCCTCCTCTGTTGGCGAGCACACCATTCAGACCACAAAGGATACATGTAAGTTGGGATGCCTCTTGCAGCCAAATGTTTCCGAATAAGTCTTTCAGTCCCGTACCAGTTAAAACCCTTTGTGGCGTGTCCGATGCGTGGAAGATGAACACTTGCTATTGAAAAGATTATGATAATCAGTGAAAATTACATACAGAAGAGAATAATTATTGATGTCTTCATGCAAAGTATATAATTACAATGTCAAAAACGTTCAGGGGAGGAAACAAACGAGGGAAAAGTAAGCTTTTCTGTGGGAGACAAGAGCCCACGGGTTCTAGAAGTGAGCAGATATGATGATGGACAGAGTGTGACTGGTGGGTGAATCATAAATTAAAACAAGCATAAAGTCTCCAAAAAGTCAAGAAATTCCACAAACACTGAGGTACATCGGGCTTGGACAGACTAAAGTCTTGCAGAAAAGAACTGTCAGTTACAGTGTGTGACAGGGAAGCCGAGGAACGCCTCCGAATCTGTACGATGAGAGCGATGCCCATTGGATAGGCACAGAACACAAGGAAAAGGCTACGTGGGCACAAAGTGATGTGGGCAAGGCCCGCTTTTACCACGCAAACCAAGGGGACTCTCAGCATTTACTGCCTCCCTTCAAAAGTCACAGCATACATCTGGACAGAAATTTTTCTCATCCTGGGCACAGAAGGAAGGACTCACCTTTCTTTTTCTTTGCTGCTAAAAATACCTTCTTGAGGCCATCTTCTAGGGCCACCATCTTAATGCCAGACAGGACATTGGAACTATCGCGGTGCTGAGCCACAATCAAGGCCAACTAGAAAGAACAACCGGTAAAGAACTGACATGGTACAAGGCAGTCACACTGCCAGCAAGTGAGCGGGCCAGGGAGGAGACATAGACTTTCCTAGATGCTCTCCAGGGAAAAGAGGGCTGTTCCAAATCTCAGCTGATATGATGACAGGCGTCCTACATTCCAGCCCTCTAGCTGGTGCTCAGCAACTCCACACCCCCAGGCCAAGAGTCAATCCCATCCTAACAGCCTATGAAGACGGTGCCCCCAAGTTTCCCACAGGTCCTCGAGGGAACTGCTGAGGTCAAAGCAATGGGATCCCACCCAGGTACACTGCGAGCACCCCGCTTTTTCTAGCAGCCCTGGGGATCAAACCTAGGACCCAGTGCAAGCTAAACAAGTGTCCTGACTCTGCCACACTCGCAGCCTCCAGCTTGAGTCACTCGACTCTGTTCCTTAAGCACAGACATTCTGTGCAATGTCTTAGGAATCACGGAGTGAGGAAGCAGAAAACACATCAGTGTTAGCCACACAGACCACCAGGTCTTTGAGTGCGAGCTTCTCTCAGCCTCACTTTCTAACGCTTTTTCTAAGTCAGCAATGATCTGGCTCAAAATCAAATATGGGTTTGGGCCTCAGAGACAATCAGGTGGATATGGTAAAAAATAAAACTCGTTACAGATACTCCAAACGACAGGCACGCAGGAAATCTTTAAGATGCAAAGCAGGGGAGGTGTGGGTTGCTTCCTGCATTCTGCCAGCTAGAAAGTATAATCCTTCACACAAATTTTCATATAAACACAAATGATGAAGCTCCAGAATCTTGCATCATATTTTCTTATTCTACTCAGAAAATGTTTTCGGGCATATTCTATGAGCCAGCACTGTGTGGAGTACTAATGATAAAAAGAAACAGAGGGGGCTGGCTGCCAAGCCTACACCCCGAGTTGGATCTCCAGGACCCCCATGGAGGAAAGAGAGAACAGACACCTGCAAGTTGTCCTCTCACACACATGGAAAGGCAAGCACACTCGCACAGCACAAAATAAAGTAAGAGTGTATAAAAATTAAACTGACACAAGTGATTAAAAAAGTTATGCCTGTACATGAAGGGCCTACTGTTTAGGCCAGGGAAAGAGCAAGGCGGTGTTTGAGGCACTGGAAAAGCCCTGCAGAAGTGGCCTGACCTACCTGTCTGTTGAGGATGGATCATGTCCCTTCCCCAACTGCTATATTGAAATGCCAAACCCTTGGAACCTAAGTTGTGACTACATATGGATGGTCTTTATGAGATTAAGTTAAAATGAGGTTGGGTACTAATCCAAGCTTATACTCGTACTTTTAAGAAGAAACTTTGGAGGTGAAGGAAAACCTTCCTTGAAAGACAAGGAAGATGGCTCAGGACAGAAAGTGCTTGGGTTCAAGTATACAGACCCGAACCCACATAAAAAGCTGGGTGTAGTGGCATGCACTTGAGATCCCAAATAGGGGACGCTGAAGATAGCTGGATCCCAGGGCTTACTGCTGAGATCCAGGACAGAGATCCAGTCTGAAGCGAACAAGGCGAGGGTGGCCCCTGAAACACAGGAGGATGATCTCTGGCCTCCACATGCACACGCACATGCACTTGCATGGGTGTACACACACACACACATACACACACACAAAGAAAGACATCAAGGATGTGCACCCACAGATGATAGACTGTGAGGACATGGAGAGAGGGTGGCTGGTCATGCACAAACTGAGAAGAAAAGCCACTTAGAGAAGCCAAACCCACTGTTGCCCCTTGTGGTCATGAAGTCTCCAGCAACACTTGCAATGTTTGTGGCACAGGTGTGGCAGCCCTAACTGCACTAGGACAAAGACTGGGCAGCGAGCACCTGAGGGGTGGACGGGGCTTTCAAGGGAAGCTTTCGTTCTGATATGTGACAGGTTTTTACTTACCAAATCTTGTCCTTTCTCTCTTGATTCTTTATCATCAATGGGAAACAAAAGGACACCTCCCAAACTCAAGTCTGAGGTTTTAAATTGAGACAAAGGATCATTAACTTCACCGAAGGGCTATTCTCAATCTTCCTTATGTGTTCATTGTCTAAATCCAATCACATTTTTGCTATTTTCTTGCCTTTTGAAATATGATTTCACTCTGTAGCTATCCTGAACTTGCAGCAATCCTCCTGTCTTCCTCCCCCAACGTCAGGACTTTAGGTGTGGGCCACCATGGCTTGTTCCAATCGGGTTTAGCACTCCCTCGCCCTCTGAACTTCTCATGGCTGTTTTCCGTCTCCCAACCTGTCCTCATCTTGGCCCGGGACTCATCTACGGCCTTCCTGCATTTTCTGAACTCAGTGGTCCTCACACGTTACCAGCCTAGTACCCCCGTGGCATCGCGGTGCTGCGCTCTGAGCCGGAGCTTCCTTAGGAGTCTCCTGTTTGTCTTAAATCACTCACACGCTGCACTCTACTGTTTCTATCCGTATATCTCCCCACCACCAAATCAAATCAAGCTGATGCTCTAGACAAATGGGCCGATTTAGTGCTGGGCTTCACAGAGCAATTTGAATTTTTTTGTTCAAACAAAAATGATAAAAAACAAAAATGATAAATATCTCCCGTGCCCTAATCTTTTAAGGCATCCTAAAACACCCGCAGTCCTGCTGCACCGTTCTCCCAGTCCAGAAGACTATTCCCGGATGGTCTCATGATGTGGCTAAACTTTCTTTTAAGCTTAACTTCCCTCTTCCCCTGGGACAACGGCTCCACCCTGGGCTGTCTGGGGCTGTGCAGGAACTGTGCAGGAACTGCCTAGATCCTCTCTAGTCATCGGGTGCTGGGAATGGCGAGTGTGACAAAGAGACAACTTGAATCCACTTTCCTTATTACAGCCCCAAAGAAGGTGGGGAAAATGTCAGCCACAAATTATGCATGCGGACTATGGACACCAAGGGAGATCTGCCTCAGAGTTACACTGATGACGGCAGAAGCCAGGCCTCTGCAGCTCGATCCTGCAGGGCTTGCTAACCCATCAGACGCAGGATTTTGAGAGTCCTCTCCTGTCCTATGCTGTCCTTGACCCTCTCGTCTCTTCGCTTCTTACCTTTCATTTTCCCAGCCAGCTCATAGATTTTTCTTGGTTCGGCTGATCGTGCCTCCAGAGCCGTGAACAAGCCCCCTCTGCCCCAGCGGCCAGAATCATCTGATGAGAGAGAGAAAGCTTTGGTTGACAGGAGGCAAGTCCAGTCCAAAGGCACACAAGACAGGCTTGTGGGGGAACGACTTCTCAGAGAAGGAAATCTATCTAATCTCCTAGAAATATTCCAGAAAGTGTACTTGGCCATTGTACCAGAAAGAGTCAGAATAGGAATCTCAAAAATGAAGCGTTCCGCGAGAACAGAAGCTCCGGTGTGTCTAGACCTACTGGAGGTGAGACGCGAGGCAGAGATTACAGAGGAGACGGACACAGTGGAGTGGGCGCTGGAAGGCCTAAGCACACATGTCCGTGCACAGTAAGGAGGAGGAAACGTAGGACTCAATTCAAGCTGGAACCAGCACAGCCGGTTAAACCTTGTATTTATACTCATTTATTCTACACATATTGGCTCATGCATCTTACATGTCAAGCACTGCTCTAAGCACCAGGCTTATACCAGTGAGCAACAATAACAAAAGTCCCTGCTCCAGGAAGCTAGTTTTGTAATGCACTGAGATAGCCAAATAAACAAATATATGTTAGCGTGTCAGGTGACAAAATGCACGGTGAAGGAGAATGGGACAGGATAAGATAGAAACGTGAAGAGGCTTTGCCTAGGGACCGGGAAGAGCACCCTGAGGAGCAGACGTCTGCACGGCGCTCACGTGGCTGCTGACAAAAGAAAATTCCAGCCGAGGGGAGTTAGTGTGACGATCACAAGCAGGGACACACTTGGAATTTTGCTTTTCCTCAGAGAATTTTCCTCATTTCACCCTCTTAAATACAGAGGATAAAGCTGATACCAAGAGCCCATACGGAGAAAGGAAGTTTTGGCCCAAAGAGGTTGGATAACTCAAGCCAGTAAAGGACAGAGTCAAGTCTCACAGCTAAAAGCCACGCCCCTTGACCATCCAATGCTGCCCTGGGGTCATCACTCATAGGTCACGTCTGACCTTACCCTTCCAGGGTCCCACTTTCGTACCTACACAGTGCACAATGACAGCATCCTCCGCGCCAGCCTGTGGGTGGGTGACGTCACCGCTAACATACTGGATGGAGGTTGAGTCTAGGTCTTCAGCATCCAGCTCACCAGAAGTCTTATCTTCTCCGTCCTCAGGGTCCTCAGGCTCGCTGTCCTCCGAGGGCAGGCAGGGGGACTGGTAACTGTTGGATTCCCACCAGGCCATCCTTCACCAGAACAGAAAGGGAAGCAATTAATGACCCCTTGGGGCCATCTATTCACAGGCAGTGACAAGTGGCACTGTGAACCGCATCTCCCAGCCCCCACCCAAGTTTTCTACTTAAGTGTAAACAAGCGAGTTTTAGTGACCCGGCCTAACTGCTACCCTGCTACGCTTACAAGGAGCCTGTTTGTAAGAACACAGCTGGAAGGGGCTGCTCAACTAACCGATTCCTCACCACACAGCTACAACAAAACCTTTCTAAATTCCAGGTCCAGGGCTAGTGAGAAGGCTCAGCAGGTAAAGGTGCTTGCCTCAGAGCCCGAGAACCAGAGTTCAATCCCAGGAACCCACAGGGTGAGGAGAGAGAAGGGGCTCCTGCAAGTTATCCTCGGACCTCTCCATGTGTGTGCGCCATGGTTTGTGACACACACAAAATAAACAAATAGATGAGTAATTAAATTCTTGTTTAACGCAATGCACCATTACCTTGGCACAGAGGACTAAACGCAAAAATTTAATCTTTACAAATACACTCTGACTACCGTAAGAACTGCTGGAGTGGTCACGGGTTTCTGGCTTTAAAACCATGTCAGCTGTGGGCTCACTACACAAGACGCCCCCACCAGCAGCAGGGACCCCAGCCTGGTATACTGTAGACACACTTCTTCCTGTGCTCAGCCTCCTCCTTTTCCTTCTTCCTCTCCTCCATTAGTCTCTTCCTCTTGGCTGCTGCTTCCTGTCTTTTCTGCCGTCTCTCTTCCAGCTCTTCTGGGCTCAGGATCTTCTTCCTTTTGATGGGCCCTTCTGTCAGGCCTGGGATAAGAACCTTAGGAAGGCAAAGACTCACAGTCAGAAAGGCCAGGGCCTGCCTGCTTCTCTGCAAGCTTCCTCTGAAGCACTCTGCGCAGAAGCAAGGGGAACGAAACATCTCCACACCGCCAGTGTGGTGGGCACTGACAGTATGTCGCTGTAATTTACGGGTTCACATGACCCCTCACAGGCACCATAGCCACTGGCCACTAAACTCAGTCAATGCATTGCTGAGGCAGTCAGTCATTTCACGAGGAACAAGTACTTCCAGCTAACCTTTCTTTCTAGATTGAAGTCAAAGTCTGTAGGAAGCCGATTTTAGTTTAAACAGTTTTAATACAACTCTGCCTACAAATGCATCACACGATTCCCCTTGAAACAGGTCAGTTTCAGCAGCTTAGACCCAGTGACGGCTCTAGAGAACATGCATGAAGTGCCAGGCACTGGAACATCATGTGACATTTGTGACTGCCATCCTCTTAACTATAATGAATGTCAATAGCAGATGTGCTATTTCATTGTAACAACGTGATCCCTACAGGGGCGGCTCCAGAGGACCGCGAGCTGCTTTTCCTTGCATGAAGTCACAAATTCACTTCTTGATATAAGTTTGGAGACAGGGTCTCATGTATCCCAGGCTAGCCTTGAACTTGTTATGGAGCTAGTCTGGTCTTGAACACCTGATCCTCCTGCCTCCAGTTCCAAGTGCTGAGATTATAGGCATGAGCCACTATGCTCAATTTCTTAATGTTTTTAAATAAATTTTTATTTTATTTGTCATTTTGTGTGTATGTGTGTGTGCGTGTGTGTCTGACAGAGAGAAAAACAGTCATGGCTAAGTATGGGGGTCAGAGGACAACCATTGGGAGTCAGTTCTGCCCTTCTACCACAGGTTCTAGGAATCAAACTCAGGTTGTCAGGCTTGCATAGCAAGTGCTTTCCCTACTGAAACATCTTGTCAGTCCTTAATGTCTTTTAGAGATTTATTTTAGCCGGGCGGTGGTGGTGCACACCTTTAATCCCAGCACTTGGGAGGCAGAGGCAGGTAGATCTCTCTGAGTCCAAGGTCTACAAGAGCTAGTTCCAGGACAGGCTCCAAAGCTACAGAGAAACCCTGTCTCAAAAAAAAAAAAAAAAAAAAAAAA